GACTCTAGCTCCTCGCACATTTCATTGTAATATTTTGCTTTGTCATTCCGTGCTGCCTTTTGGAATCTTCTGTTCAGCTCTTTAGTGTCTTGGATTCTTCCTTGTGCTTTGGCTTCTCTACATTCCAGTGCAATCTTCAAGATAAGTTAAAGGGTCAGTCAGAATCACTGGGTGGTGCACAGTTAGTAACCACAGGTTAGAGGTCTGAATTCACCAGGAGTATCATGGGAAAGGCTGGAGGGTCTGCTGCCCTCAACATTACAGCCAAGAAAAACCCCGTGGGGCTCCTCTCTGTCACACATGGAGTCACTATGGATTGGAGTCAACCAGATGGCAGCAGTTTGGGGTCTGAATTATTTTAATAAATTTTTTATTATGGTTTTAATCAAAGTTTACAGAAAACCTGGATTTCCATTCATTCTTTGTTGCACATGGATTTTTTTAAGTGCAACACAAAACACATCTTTCTATTTCCAGTTAACTTAAATATAAATAGAAAGAAGAGTTTGTGCATAGCACTCTGAAAAACAGATGTGTGACATCATATTGAAAAATACTACAAACACCACAACAAGATAACCAACTCAATTGCAAAATGGACACAGGATATGAGCAGACACTTCACCAAAGAACATTCATAGGGCAAACACGGGAAGAAATGTTCACAATTCCTAGCTCTAAGAGAGATGCAAATTAAAACAACTATGAGATATCATCTCACCCCAGTAAGAATAGCAAAATTCAACAGAGCAGCAAACAACAAATGCTGGTGAGGTTGTGGAGAAACTGGAATCCTTTTTCACTATAGGTGGGAGTGTAAAATGGTGCAACCACTCTGGAAGGTGATATGAGCTTGCTGATAAAGTTGGAAATAGAAATACCATTTGACCCAGCAATTCCACTACTGGAAATATACCCTAAAGAAACCAGAACTGCCACACAAGCAAATACAGGCACACTTATGTTTATCACTGCAAAGAGATGGAAACAATCCAAGTGCCCCTCAACAAACAAATGGATAGAATATATATTCACGAAATAGAATACTATACAGCACTAAAAAACAAGGAACCCATGAAATATTATGCAAAATGGGTGACCCTGGAGGACATTATGCTGAGTGCAATATCTCAGCCATAAGAGGACAAATACTGCATAAAGCCACTGTTATAAAACAGGACTGACATCAGGGATGGGAGGGAAACTAAGAAAAGAAAGGATAAATCATGTACACTGCATTGAAACAGATGAGGAAGAGAACTGCTTAGAAGGAATATATGATTAGGTATTATCTGCATGATGACAGTCCAGAATAAGAGTTGCATAGTAAAGAGGACTTGGGTGGGGAGATTGTATAACAATGAAAGATTTTTTTTTTCAAAGAGAAAAGTGAACTGGGGAGCGAGGTGAGCAGGGAGGAAAATGTGCAACAATGAATGAACGGAAATCCATGTTCTCTATACACTTTCATTAAAATCTCAATTTTTAGCACAACTACAACTAGAGGACTCCTCAGAAGCATGGATAGTGAGACTTTATCATACCGACTTTGGTCATGTTATCAGGAGAGAAAGAAGGACATCATAATCGGAAAAGTAGATGCTGAATCTTGCTGAGTCTTCACTCCCTCACAGTTTTTTTTTTCTTGTCTTCTCCCTGCCTCTTTTTTAAACAGTCCCTCTGAAAGGACTATCCACTTAGCATTGTATCCAAAGACGAAATTTGTAGGTGAAAGGAGTTAGAAGTTAGCCTTCGTTACAGACTGGTTAATCTCAGGGTCGAAAATATGGAACGCTTCACGAAATTGAGTGTCATCATTGCGCAGGGGCCATGCTAATCTTCTCTGTATCGTTCCAATTTTAGTATATGTGCTGCCGAAGCGAGCACAACCTCACAGTTTTAATCAAGCACATTGATGAGGTGCCAGCTCCTTTCTTTTGAGAGTCTTCCTCTCCTTTGTCCACTCTTTAATTTCCTGAGCATGAGAAGGCTGTAATTTCTCAGTAACACACTTCATTTATAGCCAAAATACCCAACTATGTGGATAGTACATATTTTATTTGATCATTTATTAATTGATAACTATTTAGTCTGTTCCTACTTCTTGCCAATTATGAATGTTTCTAAATATTTAAATATAATTTTTGTGATTATACTTTTAAAAAAATGTCAATTTTTTTTTTTTGCAGAAAAACTTCCTTTAATTTCTATACAGCATCAGACCTGGCCCATGAATAGGTCTCCTTCTGCTGTTCACTCCTTCACCAGATCCATGGTTTTTCGATGCTCCTTGCTGCCCTCCAACCCCTAGGTGGAGCCCAGCCCTGAGGCTGCTGCTGGGTACCTGGCACCGGCCTCAAGCTCTTCTCCAGCTCAGCTGCCACTCGGGGGGCTGCAGCCTGGATAGCATCCTGGATGCTATGGAGGTCCCACTGGGTCCTTAGCAGGGCATCGTTCAATGTGAAAAAGCCATCTCGAGTGCGCCGCACTTGGGAACAGACAGCAGTGCTCTTCAGCTCCAGGCCTATCTCATGCACCAGCCTTCGTAATTGCTTCTGCGTCTCTTGCATGTACTGAACTTCTAAGAGGAATTCTGGAGGTGCAAAGTGGAGGCAGCGTATGCCAGTGATCAGCAGGTGCTCTGCCGGGAAAGGAGGGACAATCTCCTCCACCAGTCAGATCTGATTTGACGGTACACGCACATAAAAAATGTCAATTTTTTAAAAAAAATACTACAAAGAAAGAATGAATTATTTATTTTAAGTGAACTTGGAGCGGGGCGTAGGGAGGAAAACTGTGAAACAACGAATGAATGAGTGAAAATCCAGCTTTTCTGTGAAAGTTTGTTAAACCATGTGATTTTGTTAAAATCACAGTAAAATAGGAAAAAAGAAAAACACCACGAAGATTACAGTATGTGTCTTTTAAGCTTCCTTTAATGATATTAAGTGGAGATACACACGTACAAATGGGGTGGGGAAGGCGGAGATCTCTTGGGACTACTTTTGGTTTTGTTAGTTATTGGAATAGTAGCTCAGGTAACCCCTCTTTTCTGGATCACAATCTGTCATTTTTACCTTCAGACACAGCTGGCCTCTGACTCAGCTGTGTTCATCTTCAATAAAGGAACAAAAAGCAGAAGAGGGTGGCTAGTCTCTGGCCCCAAATTTCCAACCTGTAAAGGCTAATTCTCAACATCTCACTGACAACACCCAGCATGGCAGGTCCTTTTTGAGGGCGTAAGATGCAATTACAGTCCAGCCGGTCAAATCTGGTCTGTTGTTTGATTTGCTGCAAGGCCTACAGATAATGGTTTTTATGTTCTTAAATGGTTATATAAGCACCTATATAGTATCCTTAATTATATGCTCTTAGATAACAAAGTCTTTATTATTTACAATCTGGCCCTTTAAGAGAGCAATTGCTGTATAGACAGATTCCTAGGTGGCTAAAATGGTTTGCTCTCAGCCACTAACTGAAATGTTGTCTGTTTGAGTTAGTGATTCAAAGCCATCCAGTTGTGAGTCGGAAGAAAGGCCTGGTTCTCTGCTCTCACGATTCAATCAATCAGTCCTACTGCTGGTAAACTGATCCCAGTTTATAGTGACCTTATATAGGACAGAATAGAATTGTCCTAATAGGGTTTCCAAGGCTGAAAATCTTGTGGGCGCAGATTGCTGCCTCTTTCTTCCACAGAGCAGCTGATGGGTTTGAACTGACAACCTACCTGTGGGTTGGTAGCCTCACACAGACTATGTCCAACTCTATGGGGGATGATGAGCCAACAGGTCTGTTGCTGTTTAGTTTCTCTATGGCCCTTCAATTTTAGCCAGAACTCTCAGAACAGAGCTTACTGGTCTGTAGCCCAGGGTGCCTGAGCCCCCAGACTGTTGCCCAGGCATCCAGCCTGAGCTGTGCTCTCCTTGTCTATTGAGGGAGTGGACCATGTTTCCCAGATGGGGTTGGCCTTTTCCCAGGCCTATTCATAGCCCTTCACTGGCAGCTTGGGTGATCCTTTGGCGGGGGCAGCCCCAGTGATCCCGTAGACAGAAGTGCCAGACCAGGGCCAAACAGCAGATCAGGGTCAGGCCTGTACCCACGGCCACGGTCACGAGGACCACAGTGCTTGGCTTGATGGGCACGGTGAGCTGTCTGCAGGGCCCCAATGGGGAGAAGTTGGCTTCTGGAAGGCTCTTTCCATCTGTCCCAAACAAGATGCTTTCTCCTGCTGCGTTGGCCGCCACCACACAAATGACATAAGTGCCCCCGGGCTTCAGCCCCTTCAGTTCTGCATTTCGCACGGTCGAATTGAAGTGTCTCCCCATTTGAGGAGTCTCACTGCTTTCCCAAAGTAGCAGCCAGTACTGGTGGACCGGGGAGAGGGGCGCACACCAGTGCACCACCGCACGGCCCTCCTCGGCCATCACGTGCACGTCCCCCAGGCTGGGTGGATCTGGCGGTTGCGAGGCGCTGGACAGTCCCGGGCACCGGCAGGGCCCCGCCCGCTGCAGCTCCTCACAGGGTACCTGCAGGTGGCGGCAGCGGTCATAGTCACAGAATTCATACTGCAAGGTTGTCGTCCTGGGTGTCTCGTCTCCCTCTTCATCATCGAAGTCTTGAGGAGCCAAGGGCTGAGCCCTGGACACTAAGGAGACGGTCACAGCCAGGAGCCACAGCGGGTAGGGGGAGCCCAGCATGGAGCCTGGAAGGCATAAGTAAAGGTTGTTTAGAGCCTGTGTTCTTGCAGGCCCACATCTCAACAAAACCGCTAGGACAGGGACATGCAGCTGGGGCCATGACAGGGGATCGGGAAGGAGACACACACTCAATCAGTTCGCTCAGCTCCTGCGTCTAGACCTTGGGCTTGCTTTTAGACAAAATGGAATGAAATATGGTCTGACAAGAGGGACTGAAGTGGGTCCAAGACCAGATGAGATGTGTGAAAAGCTAGACACATTAATGGATACCCAACCAAAATGCAGAAGGAGTGATGGAACCAGTCCAGGGAGGAAAGGTGGACTGAGTCCCAATTGGCACTGGGGGAAAAGGTCAAAGTGGAATAAACATCAACCAGTGCAAATTCAGAAATGGGACTGAAGTGAGAAAAGAGGAAGCAACGGAACGCAAGGAAGTAGACCCTGGACGCCTCACCCCCCACCTGTTACGGACATCAACCCTGCCCGGCCTCCACCTGCCCCGGACCCGCTCTGGCTGACAGCAGCCCCTCACCAGCAAGGCCACGAGTGTGTGGGGATCAGGCTGAAGCGCCCACAGGATTGCAGGCTGCACAATCAGGTTTAGTCTTCAATTCAAGCTTAGTTCGCTTTTATACCCTTCAGCTGTGATGTCACCACCTAGCCCCCTCCCTCCCTCCCTGAGGAGTGCTGAGAGGAGGGCTGGCCCCTTCAAAGGGCCTGAGTCACAGGGCCAGGGAGGGGGGAGGCTGCACACAGAGGTTTCAGCCGGCAGTCAGGACGCCTGGGTTCTTAAGGGGGGCAGAAGGTGGAAGGCAGTCATCCAGGAGCTGTGAGTCCCAGGACTGGAGACAGAACGGAGGGCTGGGAGAGGGGCCTCAGGCCGAGGACCACCTGGTTTGTAGGAGAGGAAAACAGCTGTGGCTAGCGTGGCGCCCAGAAACCAAATGCTGTTTCTGTGAAAATCACACCACATCCATGGCAGAGTCATTTCCTGTCTTCTTCCCAATGGACAGAGAAAGGGAGGGGCGCAGCAGCCAGAATGAGGTTATTTCAGCTTTCCAGAGAACTCTCGCTATCCCCCTCCCCAGAGGGGGCTGAGCAGCACATGGAGGGTCTGGGAGGCACCCCTCCACGCCAAGGCGCTTAGTGCAAACAGCTGTGCCTGAAATAACTCAGGGTCCCCACGCCTTCCCAGCCCTCCGCTAACAGACAACCTCCTTGTGTAAAGGGGTCTGGGGAACACTGGGTTTTCAGATAACTGCCCTGATTCTCTCAGTGAGTCAAGGAAGCAGCTGGCACGAAAATAGTTTATTAGGGGAAAACAGGGTGAGAAAGTGCTGGAATGTGAGGAATCCACCCTCTCCTCTTCAGGAGCTGGAGCAGGTGGAGCGCTGGCGGAGAGCAGAGGGCTCGAGTTCGGAGCTGCCCAGGGTCTCGAGGGCAGGTGCAGAGGCAGG